GTGCTGACAGGTGTCCCCCGTGCTGACAGGAGTCCACTATGCTGACAGGAGCCCCCCTGGGCTGACAGGAGTCCCCCGTGCTGACAGGAGTCCCCGGGCTGACAGGTGTCCCCCTGGCTGACAGGAGTCCACTGGGCTGACAGGAGTCCCCTGGGCTGACAGGAGTCCCCCGTGCTGACAGGAGTCCCCCGGGCTGATAGGTGTCCCCCTGGCTGACAGGAGTCCACTAGGCTGACAGGAGTCCCCCTGGGCTGACAGGTATCCCCGGGGCTGACAGGAGTCCCCCTGAGCTGACCGGTGTCCCCCTGGCTGACAGGAGCCCCCCGGGCTACAGGAGTCCCCCGGGCCGACAGGAGTCCCCCGGGATGACAGGAGTCCCCGGGCTGACAGGAGTCCCTCTGGCTGACAGGAGTCCCCGGGCTGACAGGAGTCCCCGGGCTGACAGGAGTCCCCCGGGCTGACAGTTGTCCCCCGGGCTGACAGGTGTCCCCGGGGCTGACAGGAGTCCCCCTGAGCTGACCGATGTCCCCCTGGCTGACAGGAGCCCCCCGGGCTACAGGAGTCCCCCGGGCTGACAGGAGTCCCCCGGGCTGACAGGTGTCCCCAGGGCTGACAGGAGTCCCCCTGAGCTGACCGGTGTCCCCCTGGCTGACAGGAGTCCCCCGGGCTGACAGGAGTCCCCCTGAGCTGTCCGGTGTCCCCCGGGCTGACAGGAGCCCCCCGGGCTAACAGGAGTCCCCCGGGCTGATAGGTGTCCCCCTGGCTGACAGGAGTCCCCCGGGGTGACAGGAGTCCACTAGGCTGACAGGAGTCCCCCGGGCTGACAGGAGTCCCCTTGACTGACAGGTGTCCCCCGGGCTGACAGGAGTCCCCCGGGCTGACAGGAGTCCACTAGGCTGACAGGAGTCCCCCGGGCTGACAGGAGTCCCCAGCTGAAAAGTGACCCTGGCTGACAGGTGGCCCCGGTTACAGGTGACCCTGGGTGGCAGGGGTCGGGGACAGCCCCTCACCTGTACAGCAGCCGGCCGCGGTCCCGGGCGCTGATCTTGCCCCACAGCCCGTTCTCGAAGGCGTCCTTGGCTGCGGCCACGGCCTTGTCCACGTCGCTGGCCTGGGCCAGGGACACCTGGCAGATAACCTGGGGGACAGCAGGCCGTGGCCGAGGCCGTCTTTCCCCCGGCTGACCCCGCCTGACCCCGCCTGACCCCGCCCGACCCCACCCGACCCCTCCTGACCCCACCTGACCTCGCCCGGGCCCGCCCAAGTCCCTGTCCCCAGCTTGGGGACAACCTCAGACCACAGGAGGGACGCAGGCACGGGAGTGGGTCACAGGAGGGGGACACAGTCCCGGGAAAGGTCTGTCTTTCTCCATGTCGGGGACCCCCGTGGGGTCGGCCTCGCTCACAGCAGCCTCCCACTCCTGGCCTCCAGCGATCCTCCCGCCTCGGCCTCCCTCCCCAGTAGCTGGGACTACAGGCATGCGCCTCCACGCCCGGCTCGTTTTTTCTTCTATATATTTTTAGTTGGCCAAATAATTTCATTCTATTTTTAGTCTCGCTCTTGCTCAGGCTGGCCTCCAACTCCTGACCTCCATCAAGCGATCCTCCTGCCTCGGCCTCCCTCCCGAGTAGCTGGGACTCCAGGCGTGCGCCCCGGGGTAGGACGGGCTGGAAACGGGCCGGGCCCCTTTTGCCGTCCCAGATACGGGGACACACGCCCAGCAGAGCGTCCCCTCTCCCCGGGGTGAAAACACCATAGACCAGGAGGCGCGGGAGGGGGAGGCCGGGGGATTGGAGGCCAGCGGGGAGGGGGAGGCCGGCCGGCCGGCACTCACGCTTCCGTCGGTCGGGTTGATGGTGTCGTAGGTCTTGCCGTCCTCGGCCTCCACGAAGGCGCCCCCGATGAAGAGCTGGTGGGGCACGCGGACGCAGCGCTTGTTGACAGCCAGCTCCACCTGGGGACGGAGGCCGGGGTTGGGGAGGCCGGGGTTGGGGAGGCCGGGGTTGGGGAGGCCGCGGGTTTTGTTTTTGTTTTTTCTTTTAATTTGAGACAGAGTCTCGCTCTGTCGCCCGGGCTGGAGTGAGTGCCGTGGCGTCAGCCTCGCTCACAGCAGCCTCCAACTCCTGGCCTCGAGTGAGCCTCCCGCCTCAGCCTCCCAGAGTGCTGGGAGGACAGGCGTGCGCCCCCGCCCCCACGTATTACGGGTGTGGATTCTTCTCGACCGGCAGGAACCCACACAGACGTAGGAGGAAGCACACGGCCGGGCAGACAACCACACGCGCGCACGGCCAGGGGCCGAGGCTCCAGCCCCCGCAGCCTCCGCGGAGCGTTGGGAGCTGTCACGTGGGCAGCGGTGGAGGCTCAGTGCTCAGGAGGGAGATTAAGGACACAGACTCGAGGCCACCACGTGGCTGGGACTCAGTGCTGCCACTGTGTCGTAGTGCAGCCTCCACCTGGCTACCCAGCCTCCACTTTGTCATTGTGCGGCCTCCACCTGGCTACCCGGCCTCCACTTTGTCATTGTGTGGCCTCAACCTCATTACCCAGCCTCCACTTTCTCATTGTGTGGCCTCAGCCTTGTTACCCGGCCTCCACTTTGTCATTGTGCGGCCTCCACCTGGCTACCTGGCCTCCACTTTGTCATTGTGTGGCCTCAGCCTTGTTACCCAGCCTCCACTTTGTCACTGTGTGGCCTCAGCCTTGTTACCTGGCCTCCACTTTGTCATTGTGCGGCCTCCACCTGGCTACCCGGCCTCCACTTTGTCATTGTGTGGCCTCAACCTCATTACCCAGCCTCCACTTTGTCATTGTGTGGCCTCCACCTGGCTACCCGGCCTCCACTTTGTCATTGTGTGGCCTCAGCCTTCTTACCTGGCCTCCACTTTGTCATTGTGTGGCCTCCACCTGGCTACCCGGCCTCCACTTTGTCATTGTGCAACCTCCACCTGGCTACCCGGCCTCCACTTTGTCATTGTGCGGCCTCCGCCTGACTACCCGGCCTCCACTTTGTCATTGTGCGGCCTCCGCCTGGCTACCCGGCCTCCACTTTGTCATTGTGCGGCCTCCGCCTGGCTACCTGGCCTCCACTTTGTCATTGTGTGGCCTCAATCAGGCTACCCGGCCTCCACTTTGTCATTGTGTGGCCTCAACCTCGTTACCTAGCCTCCACTTTGTCATCGTGTGGCCTCAACCTCATTACCCGGCCTCCACTTTGTCATCCTGTGGCCTCCAGCTCATTACCCAGCCTCCACTTTGTCATCCTGTGGCCTCCAGCTCATTACCCGGCCTCCACTTTGTCATTGTGCAGCCGCAACCTCGTTACCTGGCCTCCACTTTGTCATTGTGCGGCCTCAACCTCGTTACCTGGCCTCCACTTTGTCATCGTGCGGCCTCCACCTCGTTAACCGGCCTCCATTTTGTCATTGTGTGGCCTCAACCTCATTACCCGGCCTCTACTTTGTCATCGTGTGGCCTCAACCTCGTTACCTGGCCTCCCCGGGGTGAGGCCGGGAGGATTGTCAGCCCACAGAAAACGCCGGCGAGCCACCGCGGGGCGGGGCCCTGGGGGTGAGGCCGCCAGGACTCACGTAGTCGATGGGAGGCTGGGCGTCCTCGTCCTCCCCTCGAAGCTTCCTCACTAAGAGCTGGACGAAGTCCCCGAAGGTGGTGGCCATGTAAACGTCCTCGTTTTCCAGCTCCAGCCCCTCGCAGAGCTCCTTGACTTCCTCCACGAGCCTGAGGGGGAGGGGACGGAA